AATAATAATAATAATAATAATAATAATAATAATAATAATAATAATAAAACATTCACATCTGAGCAGCCGAGCACGCGCCTGCTTGGTTTCTGATCCTAAAAGAAGTTGTCCTTCACATGGGCTCCGTCTATTTGCTGGTGTTCAGCGTGGAGGCGCAGCAACAAGAAGGGCGCGCGCGCTAAAAAACAAAAAGAAACCCAAACAAACAAACAAACAAACAAAAACAGAAAGCTCAAAGAAGAAAGAAATGTAAACTAATAAATGAGCACGAAACTTCAATAAAATATTAAAAGAGGCCTAGAGCTCATCCTCTGCTGGTGACTGTGTGTTTTTAATCAAAATAAAATCTGACACTTGGACTTTTTAAACAACTTGGAGCCATAATGTGAGGACAGCAGATCCTAAACAACACGTGCATTATTGATCAAGTCTGTTCAAAGGAATGAGTTTTAGCTTTTATTTTTGTAACAGATGCAGAAAAACAAGAATAGATTCAGTTCAACCTTTATTTCCACATGAGCCTCATTTACGAGAAACAAAGAATGATGACGTCATCATATAAAACAGCGACTAAAAAGAAAAGTAAATTAAAAATGATATAAAAACGAAACAAAAAAATTAATTAAAACAGAAATGAAGATCTTCTATTAAAAACGGACATATAAATTTAACAACCAAACAGGTTGTTGTTTTTAAAGCTCTCAGGTGATTTTTGTTTCTTGTTCATAACAATCCTCAGAATTTGTCTTCACTTTGACTTTTTGTTTTCCTGTAATTCAAATAATTTATTATTGAACTGAACACTTGTTGTCTTGTTGCCTAAAACCTGACCCAGATAAAAGAAATAACTCGTGTTTGTTGTTTATTTGTTTGTTTTAGAGCTTCTCTTCCTTGAGGCCTGAAGGCAAAAACAACTGAAAGTCACAAGAGCAGGATTATTTGCTTGTTTTTGTTTGTTTATCTTAAAACCGTGCATTTTTTTTATTTACTGACTGAACTGAGGAGAAATAAACAATTTGTTTTTTTTGTGGAAGTTGAACAATTTTATGAGTTGTTTGTTTATAAATATCATTTAAACAAATTCAAACTTATTTTATTATTTCGGTGTTTTAAAAAACAAATCTGTTATTTATGTTGTTTTTCTTCTCTATCGTTTTGAATCAAACAAACAAACAAACAAACAAACAAAGCTGACTCTTCTTCTGCCTCGAGGACACTTTCTGCTGAAGGCCTGAACTGGTTTTAATGGGAAGAAAACTGCATTGGCTGGGATTTATTCTTAAAGTGTCAAAACTTTAATTTAAATAAAACGTGCAGATGAAAAAGGGAGAATTTAAAAGTTGTCCTGGTTGATTAAAAATACAAAAGAATGAGTTGTTTAATAAAAACAGACAAGGAGATAACTTGCACCATCAGTGAAAATGTTCTGCTTCTTTTCACTTGTAGTGTTTTTTTTATTTATTTTTATTTTAATTATTTAGAGTTGTGTGAAAACTCACATGTAGTTATGAGTGTGTAATATTTGGTCTCCAACCTATGGCTCTGGGGCCACATGTTGGTCTCTTGGTTTATGAATTTTCCTGTAAACGAAGCGTCTGACAAAAACACTTAAATCAACCAGAAAAGTCAACATTTCTGAGCGATGTCGTTAAATAAAGCGCAGATGTGCACACGATACACGATCATATGTTGAAATTAATCGTCACGCTAAACTGTGCCAAATTATTCTGATAGAATATCCTGATGCATGCGCAATAATCCATGAAGAAAAATAAAATAAAAGGTTAAGTTTGACCCTCGGGACAAAATAAATAAATAAAATAAAATAATTGAAAAAGTCTTTTGGATAAAACAATTTTTTTTTTTAATCTGTCCAGATATAACTTTTCTTTTTTTTTTTAGATTATTCTGATAGAAGTTTTTAAAACTCTTGTCTTTGCTTAAAAAAAACTTTAAAGTAAATCAGTTTCTGCTTTTTATTCATGAAGTCATATAATTCAACAGGCCTCATTATATCCACATTATTATTCATTAGGATACAAGTATATGCTTTATTTGATTTGAATTGTTTTAATCTTTAAAATATAATGACTCTCACTTGTTTAAATGAGAGCATAGCTGCAATAAATAATTTTCCCCATAGGGATTAAGAATACAATTAAAATAAAAATCCCCATTTGGCTGTTCTCTTTGTTCTAATATGCAAAAAGGTTCATAATTGAACAAACTAGATTTATATATCAATGAGTTATCTATAGTTCATGCTTCAGGAACATTTAGCAACACTGAACATTTGACTTGTTTGATTGTAAAAGTTAAAGTGTTACAGAAGTACAATGACATAAACTAACAGTTCTATTATTGTAAATAAAGTTAACTGTGAGAAATTAAAAAAAAGAGTTTTCATACTAAATACCATTATGTAAAATTAAATTCTCCACTCTAATAAAACCAGAACACAAAGTTATGGAAGTGATTCGAGGGATGCTTTGGCTCATACTGCCCCCCAGCGGCTGATGGAAGAACTGACACACTTCAAACACCAACTGGTTTATTAGTTTGAACATAAAAAAAAACCCAATACAAGTCACATCCACAGGGAGCAGACCTCAACAGCACTACTGTACATTCATGAAACACTACAAAACACGTGGACCTAAACAACGTAAACAAAAACAAACCTGAACTCGTTTGGTTCAAGGCGCCTACATTCAGTCAACAAACAAAAACAACAACAGGAGGGGACATGAAAATGAGATCATGGCACTTGATCTGTAAAGACAACTTTCAGATTGTTGCTTTTAGTAAAAACGTGTTTTACTTACTGGAAATTCAAATCTTAACATTTATCCCAAAACAAACCAGTTTCTATACGTTTGTGGAAAAATGAACATAAAACAGGAAATGAGAGGAGCTGGACGCTGGAACGAAAGGCACTTCTGTCACACGTGCGTGTTCCTAAAGGCTTTGTACGTTTAAAAACAAAATGCTTTTATTCCTCAAGTTTTGTCTCAATCGTTTTAAGAGGGCGGCAGGAACAAAAGGACTTGTGTCCAGGTGAAATAATCAAGATGCTTATTAAAAACAAACAAAAAGTAAACAAGTCTCAGATTAACACCCAAATAAATGAAGTTTAAAACAGACTCAACACGTAATGTTACAACATGAAATGATCAGAATCAGACATGGGAACGACTTACTGTATATTTCAGACTATAAGACAATTAAAATCCTTGAATTATCTCAGAAATCGACAGTGAGCCTTATAATCCGGTGCGTATCAACTCTGCTGTGCTCACTGACCTGGAGCCAATTTTATGAAAATTAACTTGCTTCGCTTAATGCGCCTTATAGTCCGAAAAATACAGCATTTGACGAGGTTTTCTTTCTGTTGGACGCCGTTAAAACAATATTCTCAAAGCAGCAGCCGTGCTTTTAGGCTTCACTTATTGGTTTGATTGTACCATTCTTACTTATTAAACAAGAACAGGAAGATCAGAAGGAAAATGCAGCTGATAAAAAGATGTTTATGGCAGCAGAACATTTAAAATCCCTCAAAAGAATTCAGTTGGGTGTCAAAATAAAAGTTGTAAAGCCAGAAAAAAACTAAAATACTGAAATATGTCAAATAAAGCGAGTCATTTCCTCAGTGAAGCTGCATTCTTCATCCTACCTATAAAAATAATCTCTAAGTAGCATCTGTGTGGAAACTATAGGTTGAAGTCAAAGAGAATACGGATTAGAACCTTTAACGTCAAAGATTGAGCAGGCAGAAGCGTCAGGGTCTAAATGTGCATCAGTTGGATAAATGAAGGCGTCTGATGGGAGCTGTGGGACAAACATCATCAGACTCGGTGTCACGACGCCATTCAGCTTGATTTCTCCAAACCGTGCAGATCCCATTTAAACTGTGTGTACGGTCACAGAACAACCCTCGTGCACAGCTTTGAACCTCGAACGGATTCACAGTTAATATCTTACCTGCTGTAGATGTCTCTTTCAACGGCCTCAGTTTAATCAGAGCTGATGAGCTAACGGCTAGTCAAGAACAGTCGCTTTGCGGTCCGCACAAACGGTAAACATTTACAACACTGTCAGATGTGAATTACATGTTTTCAGTACAGATTAAAAACGTAGCCCCCGGGCGTCAAAAGAAGTGCTACAGCTAGCTGCTGCCGCTCCATGTGTGTAGTGTAAACACCTTAAAGTGTCACGAGGAAAGAGCGTTGTAGGAATAATGTCATGTATGACGTCATGCACTAAGACGAGACGTCACGCTCAAAGGGTACGCTGTGCATGACTCTCAGCTACTACCACATCACACGCTAGCTCAAGGCCCGCAGAACGGAGCGAGTCGCGGAGTTCACGTTGAATTACCGTGGCGCTAATTTTGAAAAGTTCAACAGTAGATGTTTATCCAGTAATTACTTTCTGAGAGCTCCAATCAAATGTATCCAGTAGTTAAGATATTTTGCTAACAGACTAACTGGGCTGACTAAACAGTTAATGTTAAAGTCTTGAGCAAAGCTCTTGCACAGTAACACTCACACAGTAAACGTCTGTGAGTTGGCTGTGGTGGCCATCTTGACTCGAATTCCAAAAGTTCATCAGTTGTAGTTGTACATCTTAGATTACGTTCTGAAAGTTGAGATATTTTGCTGACAGACAAACCCATGAACCCACGCACCGACAGCCATGGGTAAAACCATTAATGTGTGCCTATCCTGAGTCTGTTATGGCTTAAATCAACTATATGGACAACAATAAGCTTTAAACTGACAGTGACGTAAACATTTATAAAAGTGTTTCAAACGCTGCAGCTGATCTTGGCTGCTCTCGGTCCAACCCCGAACTCGTCAGTCTGGTCCGTATTAAACCATTTTTCCAAAGCAAGGTTGTTCAAAGAGCTATCTACAACAGGTAAGATAATAACTGCATATAACGTTTCGACAGAACCTTGCGTCTAAAGATCTGAACTATGGCTTTAATTGAAACTTTGATTTTCCAGTCGAGGAATGTTTCCTTTATTATTATTCTCAGGATGAGGCTCCAGCGCTGAACGTCGTGGCTTCCGGTTCTTCTTCCTCCAAGATGACCGACCGCCGGTGACACGGCAGACGGGGGAGGCTGCAGATGTGTTTGCAGCTGGCGAGGGTGGTCTAGTCGAACCCTTGCCAGTCGCTCTGCTCCGAGTCGTACTCCAGCTCCATGCCGATACATCGGACCCCCTCCAGCAGCATGGGTGTGCCGTGGTGGCGATCTGGAAAAGACGACAGACGAGTCACTCAAGCTGATCTGAGCAGGACAGTCACAAACAGCTGAAGGTAACGGGTGCGTACTTTGTAGCTACATTTCAGATGAAAGCTAACGGTAAGCAGTTTTATGCTCAAGTCTTGTGCGTAATTACAGTAGTCCCTTGCTACTTCGAGGTTCGAATTTTGTGGACTGCTCCATCACGGTTTTTCAAAGTATTATTGGACATGAGGAAAAAGGACACGATTGTCAACTTTAATATCACGTGATTGTGACAGTACTAGAGATAGTACTGTACAATATAAAGTTAACGAGAAAATAAAATACTTTGGACAGGCGCCGCCATTTTGTAGTTTTCTCTCAATAAGCCTACATTGTATTCCCACTCATAACGACTACATTTCCCAGAAGCCAACAGTGCCTCGCTCAGAAGCCCGGTTTCCTTCTGCTGAAGTACCAGACAGAAAGATTTGATCTGATCGGAAAAAGTTCGGAGCTTATTGCAGTGACTTCGGCACCCAGCGGATACAGACAGCTGCACGGAACCCACCAAACCGGAGCAGAACCGGACCTCATCGGTGAAACTTTAGAGCTGGTAGCTGACCAACGAGGACTTCCAGGCGCGCCGCCAAAAGTCCGGCGCTACATCCAGAGCACACCGCCACCACTCCGAGCCAGAGAGCCGACCAGAACCAGCAGAGTAGGTCCGCCGAAATGGAACCAAGTCAGAGCAGAACCGAGCCGCTGCTGTTCTGCAGAGCTGGTATAAAGTTTAGTAGCTACATATACAGTACTGTATGTACTGTATGTACTGCATGTACTGTATGTACTGCATGTACTGTATGTACTGCATGTACTGTATGTACTGTATGTACTGTATGTTGTTCAAATGATGTAGGTTTAAGAGTTAAGAACGTGGGCTTCATCGCTGCAGGTTATGTCTGCAGAAATGAAACCAAGTCGGACCGGAACCGAGAGCCGCTCCTGTTCTACAGAGCTGCTGAGTAAAATTTAGTAGCTACGTACACGTATGTTGTTACAGTGACGTAGGTTTAAGAGTTTAGAACTTTGCAAGAGTGTGTGAAGAGTTTATAAAGCCTTAAAATATATATAAATAAAAATAATAAATATGATGTCGCTAGTTTGTGGAATTTCACTTATTGCGGGGTGAGGGGGTGGAACGCAACCCCCGCAACAAGAAGGGACTACTGTAATCAGCTCCCTGCAGGTCCAACTACAACCTGGACCTTTTTCGATGTTACACATGCTGCTTCTGCTACCTTTCAAACATTTAATGTCTCAGACTATCTGGAACTGATTCTAGACGGTTTCCTCTTCCACAGTCTTTCCTCTCATGTCATTCAGACGAGGTGGCCGAGTGGTTAAGGCGATGGACTGCTAATCCATTGTGCTCTGCACGCGTGGGTTCGAATCCCATCCTCGTCGCATTTAATTTTGTCCAGTCTGGTTCTGCTGGGGGTTTCTTCCTCATGAGGGAGTTTTTCTTTTCCACTGTTGCCTTCGTGCTTGCTCAGGATGGGACACTGCGACAAAATGAACACTCAACACAATCTGCTGGCTAACTTAGATAAATAATGAATTTTTATGTGCATGAATGTTTCTGTTTAGTGCCCTGAGACGACTTCTGTTGTGACTTGGTGCTATATACATAAACTAAACTGAATAGAAATTTCACAAGAAGCTGAAAAATGCTAAACTATTACCTGCTATTTTCAATGTGGCCCATTAAAATGTTCTTAACGCAGTTTCTGTTGTTTGGTGAACAGCATGGCTCGAAACCTTCGCACAGATTCTCTATTTCCTTGCAGCAGTCACAGTTTTGGCTCTTTAATACTGAACCTCTTGAAAATTGAATGGAAATAACAAGTCAGCACTGCTTGTTAGCAAAATATCTCATGAACCACCAGATGGATGTCAATCCAACTCTGACAGTAATCACTGACTGTACATCTACAGCTTTGGAGGACACCTAATTCAAGATGGCTGTAAAACAGTCACATTTACAGACACTGAGTGAAGAACAACCTCCACATCAATGTGAAGAAGACGAAGGAGATGATCGTGAATTCCAGAAGGAGCAAACAACCTAACACCCCCTGAACATAGGAGGATCTGCGGTGGAAGTGGTCTCCAGCTACAAGTACTTGGGTGTGCACCTGAATGACAACCTCAGCTGGAGCAACACCACCACCAGCCTGATGAAGAAAGCTCAGAAGTCTGTTGGAGTCAGCCTCCCCACCATCACAGACATCTACACCTCCAGATGCAGGAAGAGGGCCACCTGCATCATGAAGGACCCCACTCACCCAGCACACACTTTTTGCCCCGCTCCACTCAGGCAGGAGGTTGAGGAGAATAGACCACTAGACTACAAATAGAACCACTAGACTGAGGAACAGCTTCTACCCTGAAGCTGCTGACTCATAAAGACTCATAAATCCCTAACCAGGAAAATCACTGTAATGCCACTTTAACTGGTGATATGTCACTTTATCCATGCTGCTGATTATCCATGCTCCTGATTATCCATGCTGCTGATTATCCATGCTGCTGATCTCTTGTCTTGAAGCTGCTGTATTCATACCCATCTGTTCACAAGAGACTCATGTTCAGGCTGCTGTTTAATAAGCCATATTAGATCATTGTATACGCCAAAGTCCAAGCTCAATAATCCAGGTAAAAAAAATCCAAATGTTCAGTCAGGTCATCTGGGCAGTTTCTTTTTTTTGTGCTGAGACGTTTCGTCCATCATCCAAAGCACTTCTTCAGTCTGAGGAACCACCAAACAGAACTGATTCTCCACCAACAGCATACTCCATAGTGGAAAAAAAAAACAGTTTGCTGGTGCTAAGATGGCCTCTGGGGCACGCCCTCTCCCACGTCAACTCCTCTGAGACAGTCAAGTCAAAGTGTTTCAAAACACCAAAGTTCATCCAGGTATGAAATCTGAACAAAATGTCTCAGCACAAAAAAAAAAAAACATCCAGATGACCTGAATGAACATTGTTGGATCCTTATTTACCGTTTCTTTTTATACTTTATATTTTTGCTATTTCTGGATATAACTGGGACCCTGTGTGCACTATTTTGTTCCACCTCATGTACCACATGTGATGCGAATGACAATAAAGACCCTTGAACTTTGATCTTACACCATTCAGACGAGGTGGCCGAGTGGTTAAGGCGATGGACTGCTAATCCATTGTGCTCTGCACGCGTGGGTTCGAATCCCATCCTCGTCGCATTTAATTTTGGACCTGCCCTTCTGTGTCAGTTTCTCCTTCCTGTCCTCTCAAACCAGCCAGATGAAGCTTGTCCAGACTGGTTCTGCTGGAAGTTTCTTTCTCATGAGGGAGTTGTTCCTTTCCACTACTGCCTTGTGCTTGCTCAGGATGAGAGACTGCAACTAAAACTTAGTCAAATTTACAAACACTGAGGGAAAGTGGTGTGGTAGTAGCTGAGTCATCGTCAGAACATACTCTGAGCTCTTACACATCACAACCCTGCGGAACCCCTGCACGTCATTTAACCAGGTTTGACCAAAATGGCTGTTTATCATCAGATGAGTTCATGAAACCAGCTCAGCTATAGAGGTGCAAGGTGTGTGTGTGTGTGTGTGTGTGTGTGTGTGTGTGTGGGGG